ATTCACTTCTCTGCATTTTTGCACTTACCAGGTACCTCTGCCAGTGCTACGACTCAGTCCAGGATCGTTCATCGTTCCAGAATCTGGAAGCAAAAATTATTCATTTGTTGCTGAGAATATTGGTGGTTCATCAGAAGCTATCATCATGGTGCCACCGTTCATGATCGATGATTATTCCCTCCCGTTTCGTCTCATACTGGTTAGATTTTGCGTCAGTCTCACCGTCGGTCACATCTTTTCAATTTCACTGATCGATGTTTCGATAGCGTAACCATGAGAAGCTTAGGCTTGGCATAATTATGTCTTGTAACGTGTGAGTATAAAACAAGAACTGGTGAACGAAGCTTCAGAATCTCAGGAAATCTATGAACATGATACTCTGCTGAGTCAGAATCCAGCGAATCTTTTCACACTGCATAAGTTCGAATTGCTGATGTGATACATTTTAGGACGGTATACGGAATGGCATAGGTCTTCACGATGGATATCGCACGTCTATGCAGCTAACACAGCGCACAACGAATATCACTGATAAACGTTGCAATGTGTATTCAATCCGTGTGCCGTATTACTATACGATGCCCCGGTCGATTTCGAATTATTTACGATACGCATTGCTGATTGTTGATGATCGACATGCGTTAAGCGATGCTAACATATGCGAAGGTTACTGTAATTTTTTTCGACGTCTCCTGTAATCAAACAGAACAGTTCAGAATCAGGCGTTTAGAATGTGAGAATTGCTCTCTCAATAGTTACAGAAGCTCTAGAAATCGAGGAATTCTGTTCGATTCCGACTTAGATTGGAAAGTCGAACTTTCAGGTTTGATGGTCGAAAAATGCTTCTTACCTTGTTCATCTTCATCAAGGATCATCGTAACTGCACTCTCATTAATCTATATGTGATCAATTTTGAGTGAATTAGTGGCTTTTATGGCAGTTTGAATTATCTTCTGATTTTCAGTGGGATCAAGCTCAACACTGAAACAGTCATCACTATGGACTAAAAGTGAAATTCAATGCAATTGCGCATCGAACGCCCGTGAACGCTGTCGTAAGCAGTACGTCTCGGCAACAATGTGCGGTCCCTCTTGGAAGCTGGTTCCGGACGATACAGTATCACTGGATTCGATCGCAATGTTCATACTACTCATCGCCAACTGCAATGCTGTGAACGTGGATTTCCAGAGGCTGCAAAAATCGATTGTGTTAGTCT